AAAAAGGATTTGTCTACCAACTGACAACTTTTGTGAATCCACGGAACTCCATTTCAACCGCGACTAACTTTCCAATCACTGTTTACCTTGATAGGTGGCCTCTATGTTCCTCTTCCACTGAACGAACTTACCGTGTCAGCTAACTTCCAAAAATCACGGAAGCGAAAAGTTTCTCTCAATTTTACAGTTGACGAGGGACAATCAAGGAGCAACTTTTAGCCATGATTGATCAAAGGAATAGAATGTAGAGAATATTTTCATAAATATATGCATTATGATGATATTTGTATATTTATTTCACATTCAAATATGAAATTTAAAAACTTGTTTTTTAATCTGACCATTAAAATTATCGTTTTAATAATATTGTTAACAAAAAAATAACATTAAATTTCTAAATATTACTTTTGATAGCTTTTTAATATTCTTTATAAAATTGAATAGAATAAGAATTACTGGAAGAATAGAATAGAATTTGAAGGATATTATTGAAAGGTTAGCATTTTTGTTTTACTAATTAAATTGAAATTCATTAATTTCTAAAAGATTCTATAACAAATGTCCTAGATATTCTTCTGATATTGTAGATAATATTGTAGATAATATTTTATAAATACGAGATAAAGATTATTCTTCGTAAAAATCAACATGACATAACATTCTTAGCAGACACATTCGTTTTAAGAAGTGCAATAACTATGCGTAAATGTACAAATTACGCACGTACTCACTATCATATCTTCCATAGAAAACGACGCGTGAGATATTCACGCGACAGACTTGCTGCCCTACCGGTAAAACTGACCGTACTTGAAAGTGTAATGAATAATAAGCGGACTTAGCTACAAGCTGTCGAGAGATTTTATCGAGGCTACTGTCAACATCCAACTAATATCGCGTACAACGTGGCGGGTTAATTGGAACTGCCTGGAGCTCTAAGCAGTATTTTCAGAGGTTTAAATCACGTTCGCATGACACCAATACATTCAGGTATCATAACCCTTTGCTACAAATGAATCTGTCATATTCTGTGTCATAATCAATAATCTAAAAGAAATCATATAGGATATCATTTATAAAAATTGGATGTCATTGCTATATAAAATTATTCCTATTTTTCAATTTTTTAGTAATTCATTAGCTTTTGTTGTTTTTTTAGTAATCTTCTATTGAATACAACATATAACAATTATAAAAAATTATATGCTTACTAATAAGTTATTTACAATAAAATTAATTTTCTTTGATCAATTATATTTAAAAAAAATAATAATAATAACATATATATAAACACATATATAGGTATAATATAATAACAAATATATAATATAAATATTCGTTCCTCATATTTTAATTATTTTTATTGATTCATTATAATACAAATAAACAAATATATAACGTATATATATGTAATTATGACGTAATATATGACGTAATTATTTAATGTTTTATTTGTATGATCATATAAATCATTTGAATCTTATTAATTAATATATTATATTTTTTATATTTATATATTTATAAACTATTAGAAATATTATATTTTAAACACAACTTTAATATATTATTATATACATATTATACTTTATGAACCATATTATGAACCATATATTATGTATTTAAGTAATAAAATTATACAAATAATATCAGATATCAACAAACGAATTTCCATTCTATAAATATGTTCTAATTCCATTAATGCAAAGTAAATACGTTTTGAAATATGAGAACTAAATTTACTTAATCTTCCAACAGTATGATGAAGTTTAGCATCTTCATTGCATAATTTTTCTATAAAAAATAAATAATTTTCAATTACAAAATAATTATTTTACTTTTATATAATACCTGTTATAATATATATTAAAAATATTATTTTACCAGATACATTAGTGTCAAAGTCATATGGAATAGGTAAATATTTATCCAATATTAATTCAATAAAATCAGTTGTACTGTCAATAGTTTTTAAAATATTAATTCCTGTTTCAGTTGACATAACTCTATCTGCTTGTTGCCAACTATATGTTCTTAAATAATGAACTTTACAATAAGTATGCAACTTCATAATTTTAACTTTATGTTTAGTTTCATGTTTTAAATCTGTAAATGTTTTAACAGCTGGTCTAAGATGTACAGATACCAAAGATTTAGTTTGATTTATTATCTAAAACAATACGTATTTTAAAGAAATAATAAATTTTATAATTTAAATTATAAATATAAGCATAAAAATTTATATAACCTGTTCTGGTTCTTCTTTTATTATAGGTAATTTTATTTCTATATAATCAAGTCCTTGACACAATGTTTTATCTATTGTATTAATGGGTTTCTCTATTAATTTTGCAATAGGTAATGATTTTTCAATCATAGTATTAAAAACATTTTCTACAGTGTTAAATGCCCAATGTACAAGTATATTTGTTTCTTTCAAACGTCCATATACTTCTGTAGATTTATCCCATAAATAATTGACACTTGGTATTTTGCGAGCACGATTAATGACTTGTATTTTATATAGATAATTTGATGATTCAACTTCCATATTAATAAATATTTTTTATCACTTTTATATAAATTAAAAATCTCTAAAATTTTATATGAATTTTATATATATTTATATATATCATATAATTATAACAATAATTATAACAAAAATTATTTAATATATATAACAGAAACAAAGCAATATGATTATTTCAAATAAATATAAGAATTTTAAAATAATAATTTGATAAAATTAATAGTAAATAGTTTTTGTATTTCATTTATATTAATATAATTCTTTTATTCTTTTATTTTTGTACATAATGTTATATTTTTATAAGTAATAACGTTAAAGAAAAATAACAAAATTCAAATGTATACAATCAAAACAATAACTCTTTATATATTTTCATGAAATACATAGTATAATATGAAATCATTTATAAACAGACAACAAGATAATTATAATATGACTATTATGTTAAAAGCTATTATATTTATAAATTATTTGGTGTACTTACCAAATTTTTCATGAAATTTTCATATTTTCATTTATTTTTCTTTTTTTTTTTTTAATAATTCATGATCTTTTTCGCTTTCTAAATCATTTCACTAAAGTATATGTTTGTTCAATAATTGACTACTAACATTATAACTTATTTGTTTTTCTTTTATAAAAGCACTCATAACTGTGTATAATATATCACATTTTACCATATGATATTGTCATTCACTAAATAATCGTATGAGGGCACCACTATTATGTCTTTACATTTGTGTATAGGTCAGGTCATATCAAATCATATCAAGTCAATGACCTTTATATCTTTATATGAAAGAATTTTAGAATTCTTGAAATTAAATTATCAATTAATTTATCCAAAGAGCTTATATTAAAATTAGAAATATGAAGAATATAGAATAACATGCAATATGATGTTTTATGGAAAAATAATTGTATATTAAAATCAAAATATGAAGTATTATCAAATAACTAATATTATTTTATTAGAGAAACGTTCATTGCAATATGAAAAATCTATATTTCTACTTTCTATTTTCTATTTTTATTTCTAAATTTTTTAAATTTTAAAGATTCAAATGAAACTTGTAGTTTAATTTTATTTAATATTTTTCTTCATTTGGAAGATAATTAAAAGATTATATAAATTATGACTATCTAATAAAAAACAAATTGAATTAGTCAGATAGCACAATTCAAAAATTTAAATTTAATGTTTTTTAAATTTTATAATTTTTAAAAGCTCAAATTAAAAAGCATAAAACTTGATTCTAAAAGAAATTCAAAAAAATTCGAAACTAATTTTGTTTAAATATTTTTTATCATTTATAAATATTTTTAGATGTATTAAAATTAGAAAAGTGACAAATACCTACTTTTCTCAAATGTTTAAAAATAATTAGTATATGACATATAAATTGAAGTTATAAATTGAAACAATAAATAGCAACACTTAATTCATAATTGTAAATAAACATTTTGTATATTGCATAAATTAGATAATAAATATTTTTTGCTTAATATTTTATAATTTTTGAAATGAAACTTTTAACATAAAAATTATTGAAAAAAAAAAACTAAAAGAAAAGAAATAAAGTAAAGAAAAGTAATTATATTAATAATACAATATGAATAAAATATTTCAATATCATTTTTATAATACAATATTTTTTTATATAATATTTATATAAATCACAGATTACAAAATCGTTACATAAAATATATATTTTTTTTTATTCTAACAGTTCTTTTTTAAAGTTATATATGTATAGAGAAAGATATATTAAGACTTATATTAATTTTTTACTTTTTCAAATTCCTTATTACAAAAGTATAATTATTTTTAATCAAGTACTTTTCTTTGATTTTATACATTTTTTAAAAAAATTTTTAACACACATATTAAAGCACTAAAATTTTTACAATTTGGTATACTACGAATCTTATTATAAATATGAATATAAAATATCACACTGTATTTTATAAATTGTTCTTATTTTTATAATATATCTTATTAAAAAAAAATATTTCAGTATAAAAGTAAACGAAACAAAAGCAATGAAGAATATTCGAATTTCACGTATTTAGATAACAACATGTAAATATAATAATTTTAGATATCTATAAAAATTCATTCGTAAATAAAAATTGTAATTTCTATATTTTCCATTAAATCTTTATGAAACAATCGAATTGATCCTTAACTAAATTATTATATTATATTGTTTAATATAATTCAATATCTAATTGTATATTTTTTTGCATTTTAAAATTATCAAAATAATATTATTTTTAATTTTTATTTAGAAAATTTTAAAAATTGATTAATAATAAAAGAATCAAAATTTAACCAAAATTATAAAAAAATTTACATTTATATTGATAAATAATATCTCCAATACATAATTGATATTATGTATATTAAATTAAATATCCAAATATTAATTCTCACTCTTCATACTGATTTTGAATTGACAAAATAATGAAATTTATGCTATAATTATTTATTCGACGAGAGGTGCATTATTGTACAATTACTAATAAGTTTCGGGTTTACTTTTTTTCTGTATTTTCTTCAGTCGCACCTTTATTATTGATCTGTTTATCGTTCAAACTTAAAAAGTGTGTTAGGTGAAGAATAGATATAACGCTCGACATGTACGACGCAACGTCCTCTTTTTTCACTGTTTTTAATTGTGCTACAACCGAATGGTATACTCGATTGGCGGTTTTCGTGGATAATTGTCCAATGGTTTGTACAGCATGCAAAATTTTGTTCTCATCGGCAGATACTGGAGCTATAATACGAATTTTACAAATTAGAAATATATCTAGTATTTTCTTAACAAGATATCTTGTTGGATATTTATAAATATATACCTGGTATGTTTTCTTCCCCTTCTATTGGTGGGAAATAACGATCCAATAAACCGTTAATGAGAGCGCTACTATTATCAACACCTTGTACTGCTATATTACCATATTGTGTATTTAACAATTCATTAGCCTTTGCCATACTAATTTCTTTAAGAGTTGATGCTTGTTGCGTAGCTGATTCTTTTGCAGCGTGTAATTTGTCAATTGTTGGCTGCAAAGAGCTGCTCATTACTGCTTTGGCTGCATCATAAATCTAGAAAAATTTAACGAAATTTAACAAATAATTCAATTTTTCAAATAATCTATTCTTTCAAAACAATACTATTCGATAAAATGTCATTTGATAATTAAAAAATTGATTGTGAAATATATGAAGAAAAATATGATAATGTAATTGATTATAACATAATGATAATAGCAGAATTGAAATTGGAAACATAGAATCTCGTTAAATCTCAAACATAGAATCTAAATTCTTGTAGATATAATTTATAAAATATAATTCAAAATATATTATTTTTTTTAATAATAAGATTAATGTAAAATTAATTTTCTAATTATATACAAGTCAACATAGTCAGCCTCAATTGAAATTGATGATTCTAATATTGTAACTTCTTATCATTTAACATATATTATTATTATTTACCTTTTGAGGTGGTTGTTTCATGATTGGCACTTTTTGCTCGACCATGTTTAACCCTTCGCATAATTTTTGATCTACGGCAGTAATTTGTTCCTCGAACTTTTTAGCTAAAGGTGCAGTAAGAGGAGCAGCTGTGGCGGTTGCATAGTGTAATCCAGCTTCGGCTTGAGTTAATGCCCAATTGATTAAATGATGTGAATCTTTGAGATAAGAATATGTCGATCCCGTTTTTTCTATGGCTGAATGAATAACAGGAATACTTTTTACGCGATTAATCACTTCGAGATGAGGTGTACTGTCAGATGATGAGGTGCTTTTAGTATCTGCCATTCTTTCTGAAAAATTGAATAAAATGTTAACAATCATCTAATATATTTATTATATTTATTATAACATAAAAAGAGGTGATATAGATATAAGATAAAAAAAATAAAGTGATAATTCCATGATTTTGCAATTTTAATATTTGTACTTTAATCTTAATGCTATATTACGTTATAGGCATCAATCATGAAATTATTGATATTTTCAATGTATTAGTAATACTAAAATCATAATTGATGAGTAAAATAATCTCCATTAATCATTTCAAATGTGATCTCATTTTAAACGATTATTCATAATTAAAATAAGATCTAGATCAATTTTAGCGGTACAGCGAATAAAAAAGTATTACATATTTAAAAGAAAAATGACCGATTATTGTTTGTTTACTTTTTTTTTTACGTATTCTTACATAGTTAAGTACGTAATGAGTAAATTTTTTTTTTTGCAAACGATAATAACACTAAAATAATATGAGAATAAAGATAAAGTTAAAATATATTTAAAATTAAGTCCAAATGAACATTAGTATTTGCAAAATTTGTGAATTGAAAGATGTAGAATGTGCTACGTGGAATAAAATATACTATACTCAACTTTTCAGAAGATTATAAGTATAATTCATAATTCTTTCACTGTAAAATAAAGAATATGTTAAAATTGCTTACAGCGTTAAATATTCATTATGTACAGGACTGATGACACATGAATTGTACTTTTAATTTTTCAATGATACATAACTTTATTTTCAGTTTCTTATATATATATCGATACACTTTAGATTTCATTAAGATTATTGGATTAAATTTTTCAAAAGTTCTTAAAAGTTAATAAAAATTATAAATCTAAAGGTTAATTTTGATGTTTCATAATTCTTGAAGTAAAACGCGTAGAAAATATGACTATAGTTCTTTATCGTATTCAAATTATCGATCTTTACCATGAACTTGGTCATTGAATTCAATCTTATGTAAATCTTTCATACGATAGACTATGAAATAATGTTCGGCAATAAAAATATGAAACGATAATGTCAATCATTACAATATGGACAATAATTACCTAATAATTAACTATAACGACAAATAATTAACTAATGACAGTAATACATAAAAATATATAATATATATATTATACATATATAATAGTATTAAAGTATTATAATGAATCATAAGAATTGTATTAAAATATGAAATTAATAAATATATAATAAATATATATAATATAACGATTTCAATTGCACTTGTTTCTGTTATCTTTTTTTTTTTAAAGTTTTAAAAATAAGAGGATATCAATTTATAAATTATATTTATAAATTATAATCTTTATTAGATTTCTGCAAAGATACAAGAGATAAAGATTTAAAAAAATATATATATATTTGCTAAAAAACAGGATGAATATAATAAACAGGAGAATCGAATTTTATATATAAAAAATTATATATACAAAATTTAAATAAAACGATAATAATTATATTCATAATATTAATTTGTTCTAATTTATTGTTTAAAAATTTATATTTATAATTTAAATGTAATTATATTCTAATGTAAATGAGTTTCATATTAAGAATTATTACAAAAGTATAAAATAATATTATAAAATTAAATATAATTAATTAAAAGAATAAAATATAATTAATAATTAATTAGTATTATAAAATATAATGAAAACTGTATTTATTAACTAAATAATTACAAGATATGATATTACTTACAAGTAATAATTTGTACTTGTAATGTTTGATGCAACAGTTAGCAAAATATAGTAATAAAAGCAAAATATATACTACATCCAACGATGCACACGACAAATCCCGTAACACTGACGATGACGATACGACTACTCTAGGTAAAGCTACTGGTAGAAAATGATCACAAGTGGGGGCAGACATTCTTCAGGACCGTAGAAAGAACGTTACTTTTATCACGTTTCTTATGTATTGCACGAAAAATAATATAAATATTATTAAAAATAATATAGTACATATACAAAAGATAATATAAATAATTTATAATCTCAAAAACAAAATTTAAATATTCGATTATTTTCATTAAATTTTTCTAAATAATTATAACATCAAATCAATATTATTTTATTGCTATAAATAATTTATTATCAATAAATAACAAATATATATTTCTATTCTTATTCTTATTATATTATTTTGTTCTATACTATATACCTAATAATCTATAATCTATATAATCTAAAATAACATTTTAGATATATAGATTCTATTAAATATTATTCTATTATATATTCTATTAAAAAACCAATTTATGCATATATAAATTTTATTAATATTATGAATTGAAACTTAATTTAAAAAAGTACAAAATTGATATATAATATAATTTATGAATGAAATAAATTGTTATTTTTAATATAATAAATTAAAAAATCTTTAAATGCATGATATATTCAATTAATATAGAGTAATGAAATATTATTAATTAATTCTATAAATATTGATGAACTACATAATTTTATAATTATATTAATACACGTCAGTGTTTAATGGAATAAGATCGAAGGGAACTTCAATGCGTGTCTACTTCCATGAATACGTTCGTGCTTCTGCGCAGCTATACACATGTATACATACTTATATATGTATACATATGTGTCATTACCATGACGTGGCGGTCACGTCGTTGCCTTCCTCGTATTGTACAGTGTTAGTAATTGTGAAGAATACATCGAAGAATATGTTTCATTGATTCCACAATCATTTCAACGAAACATGATTGATACAATTTTAAATTTAGGTATTTAAATATGTTACATATTTTATTTTATAAATATATCAAAACGTAAATTATTCACATTAAAATTAAAACTATTTTAATTATCAATATTTATTTGAATTGAAGATTATTAAAATATTTAGATTCATTTTCAATAAATTAAATATTTTTATAAATCTTTTATTATAATATAATTGATAAAGAGTTATTATAGTAGCACATTATTTTGTAGTTATTACATATGAATTTTAAAAAATTAAACTTTAAAGAAAAATGCAAAAATTTAAAAACTAAAATTAAAAAGGAACTTTAATTATTATTAATATTAATATGATATAGAATTTATTAATTATTATTAATAATTTAAATAATAATATTTAATTAAAGGTATTATAGTTAGGTTTATAAATAATCAAAAATTATGTGCAACTTTTTTGAATATATATCTTAATATCTTATATTATTTATATTTTATATTATTCATTATAATTCAAAAGTTCAAAAATATAAATTTAAAATAAATATATATTCATTTAATCTTATCTATGTATTTTTTTATCATTTTACAGATAAGAAAATATAATGTTTATAATATCAATTTTTTATTACATATATAATTTTTAAAATATTATATCCATAAAGAAAATTATAGAAATGCAAATAAAAATACAACTTTCGATAAAAGAATTTACATTTTATTATAATAATTAATAAATAATTATAATAGAAATTGATAATAAAAATTACATTTAAGTTTCGTGCAAAAAAGTTTTATTACTTTTTTATTTAAAAATAACAATCATTTCAAAATACTTATTTTATTTTTATTAAGTATTAAAAATAATTACAAATGAAATATATCAAAAAAAACGCGTGAAATACAAATAAATATTTTTGATAGATTAGTACAATTTCTAAATAATGCAATAAAAGATTATCTATTTTTGAGCAAACAACAAAATATATTATCTCTAATAATAGAGAAAATGATTATATCATTAATCGTATGTTTGAATCATAAATACTTACAAGTCTTATACTTTATTTGTGAAAAATCTTATTTTATATTTTTCACCGCTATAAGTACAAATGTATTTTCTTAAAAATAGCATATAATATTACTACTAATAATATATATAAAAAACGAATTTAAAAAAAGTATGATTTTTTATTACAAAATGTATGCAAAAAATAAATAGAAAATTAATGGAATCGGTGGAAATTTTTCTTTTTTCATCAATGATAAAATATCAATTAAGTTTCTTTGTAATTGCATTCGATGTAGAAACTTTCGAATTGACTTCATTCGTATGTATTTCATTCGTATATACTTCATTCGCGTGTATTTCATTCGCGTGTACTTCATTATTTATAGCATGACGATTCGTTAATTGCAAAAACTGTACTATATTTCTTATATAAGATTTTAGATTATCTGCTTTAATAGTTCCCAGGTGAAGAATTATATTTGAATATACCCGACGAGCAGCTTTATTAGATAAACGTCCAACAGTTTGTAAGGTGTGAAGAAGCTTGTCTTCTTCATTTATATTCACCACTAAAATAAAACCAAAATTAATTTAATATTAATAATTATCAATATATTATTATATATATATATATTGATATAGGTTTATATTATTAATAAAACTTTGTATAAATACATAAATAAATACAATAAATTTAGAAATTTAATTTGAAATTAAATCGATCTCTCTTTTTATTTTTATTATTAATTTATATTAAATAGAAAAAAAATTATATTATTGCAATGTTATGACTACATATTATCGATTAAAATATACAAATTATAAATAATTTTTTTTTTAAAAAACTTACCTATTGATTGTTCATCTTTTGTAGCAGGAAAAAATTTATCGATTAATTTATCAACAATATCAGCTGTGCTATCCAAACCTCTAACAGCTGCACTGCCATATTGCGTTTCTAAAATCTGATTCGCTTTGCTCCAACTTATATCTCTCAAACTTAAAGCTTGGGAAATTATTAAATTATTAACGAGCGAAATGCTCGAAACTGCTGGTTGAACGGTTTGACGTGCTAGCGAATAAGCATTTTCTAAAATCTAATGAACAAAATAATTACACGATTAAAAATATATTCATACAATTATTTCATATTTTTATTTATAAAATATTTTTAAAATTTTAAAAGTTTTTGAAATTTTCCAACTTCAAACAAGTGCGTTATATATCATATATAATATGTGCATTTATCGAATGTATTTCATTCATAATAATATTAAAATTATTTAATAACATAAAATAAATGAAGACACAGAGAGTTTGGAAATAAAAATCGAAAAAGTTGCATCCGATATGATAAGGATATGATAAAAATCTATCATGTATTATACGACCAAAAAATTTTTGTTATCGCATTTTACGATAAGATATCACGAATCAATTTAAATGCTTCTTTACATTCCGATTAGATATTTTTACTTTCTTTACCGGAAAAGGGATTGATTTCTAACCTGCTCGGGTTTCTCTTTAACCAGTGGTACTTTTTCTTCGATTTTGTCGAGACCAAGACACAGCGTGTGGTCAAAGAAGTGTATAGGGTTCTCGAGTTTCTTAGCTATGGGAGCAGCAATAGGTACCGCTTGCTTCGTTGCATTGCTTAAAGAAGTTTCTGCGGTGGTTAGTGCCCAATGAACCAACTGGTTGCAATCTTTCACGCGCAAATATGTCGCTGCAGATTTTGATATTGCACTTTCAATTACTGGAAGTTCCATTACACGATGAAACACTTCGATGTGAGGCAGTTGTGCAATTTCGGTAGCCATTCTTCTTCAATTTTATAAAAAAGTCTGTAACATATATATGTATATACATAGATATAGATATACATTTCTCTTGTTAAAATAAGAAAATAATTAAAATAAGTTATAAAAAAAATCAATTTTACACAGTATAAAATAGAAATATCTTTCTCTTATCGAAATAAAAAAGATTTTATAGTAAAATAAATTAACGAATAGAATATTTTTTTTTCTTTTTCACTTAAAATTTATCTTGTCAACGAATTCATTATTTATCTATATTTCAAATTTAATAATATATATTTTTATTTTTAATAGAATTTTAATCTATATAATATATTATACATTACATTTATATTTTTATCATTTGCAAAAGTATTGGTAAATTGAAATAATATAAATGAACTAAACATATAAATGAAAATACAAGAAACTAATAATGCATTACGATAACGTGAGGTTCAACGCACGAGTGCATATACGTGCACTTATACATGTTATATATAAAGCTATATATATATATCACTTTCTCTACTTTCGCTAGAATTCGTAATTAAGTTTCGAAACATTTCTAATTGAAAGTTAATATATTTTACAATACTTTAAAATAATTTAACTTTAAAATATACTTTTTAACATAAATATGTATAAATAATTTATATTAACACAAATATTACATTAATATAAATACTATGTATTTACAAAAATTTTGATATTATTATTTAAATTAGATTATTTGCAAATAAAATTATTTTTTTATAAATAATTATAAAATATTTATTTTATTTATTTTGTATTTATTCATTTATATATATAATATATTTATAAAATTTATTGCTTATTTATTTTATAAATGTTTCGATAATTAGACATAAAATAAAAATTGTATGTGATATTTAATATGTAATAAAGATTAGTGAAATTAAAAAATATTTAAAGACTTTACAATTTTTTAAAATTATTATATTCTAAAATTTTTTATAATATCCAATAAAATAGTTATATATATTTTGAACATAAAAAACATTTAAAATTGTTTTAACATATATATATATATATAGTACAATACAATAGTGATATAACAGATATTCTTGAAACAGACATTCTGAAAACTACAATTTTATAACTAAAAAATATCTCAAAAAACTGAAAACTTATAATTTTCAAAGATGATAAATTTCAAATTTTTTTAAATGTACAATAATAATATAAATATAACAGATTTTTGTAACAGAGATAAAATTTCTGGAATTAAAAAAAAATTTTTCAAAATCTAGATAACTTGAAACTTTTTTTAAAATTGTTGATACATTTCAAAATTTCTTAATTATACAAAATTATATACAATATTATTATAATACTTACTTCTTTATCGCTAATCCCTTGTTTCTAGTTGAAGACTACGTACAGAGAAAACGTCGCGTTCACAGCGTAAATAGAAATGTGCTTGCTTCTAGTCTGTCTCAACTCTTATAACTGACTAACCGCCTGCGCGCTAAGGTTCATTCATACGAGCCAATGAAAATCCACGACATCTACAAGCAGTGATGAAGCACATGCTACGAGGCTTCAAAGTTCACTAATTGTAAGATGACAATGTTTTTACGTTATCGGCATTATTAAAACCGAGAAAATGACGAAAATTATAGGGACTTTATATCTGAATTTCACAATTACAAAATTTTCTTGAATAATGATTCAATACCTCGTAAAATCTATTCGTGGAATATCAAGAATTCATTTAAATGACAGACAAATTTTATAACTACGATATGACTATAATCTTTTTCTATATTTTATCAAAATTTGATGAAACATATATATAGTTGTAAAATATGTTATAAATTATAATAATTATATATATAATTATTTTATAATAAAATTATATAATAATTTTTATTATTATTATATCATTGTAATATTTATATATATAAAATATATTATTATTATATATATAATATATAAAAATAAATATTTTGAATTGCTTTCTAATATTTTTAAAATATTCAAGAATTTATTCGTCATCAAATTCTTTTTCTTTATAACGAAATATTTTTATATATAAGATTCTTAATATGTTCTTATTTATACAATTTAAATTACAATGATATATAACTATGTATTTAAGATTAATATAATAAGAAATAAATTTTATCTTTAAAAGTAAATAGATATTTAATGTGTATATTAAATAAATAGGTGTTTATATATCACTAAACTTATTGTAAAATATTATAAAACATTTTTTTAAATTATTAAAAATATAATGAAATGAATGAAATAATATTAGAGGAACAGAAAGATATATGTAATTATATGTATATTTCATATATATTGTATATTTTCTTGAAAAAAAATGATTATTATTATTATTATTGTTATTATAAGATAATAAAATCTGTATATAATTCTTTTTATTTATTGTATTTTGATTTGAAAATTCAAGATAAGTTTTTTGTTTATATTTTTTTATGTATATGGAATTTTTTATTTAAACAAAAGATTTAGCGAGATCAAATTGAAAAAAATAAAAGGAAAACTTAAGGATTATGAATCAAAAAAGAATTTCACAATATTTACTTTCATTTTATTCAAGAAGAAAGTTTGTCGAAAAATGAATGTCAGTTACAATAGCATTATATATAATATTCTTTATTATAAAACAAGAACAAGAAGTTAATTAGATTAATTACATGTTTATTGTTAAAATTAAAAGTATATATAATGAATAAAGAAAGCAACGTGTTAATCATTATTTCTAAAAGTTTCTATATTACTACTTACATATTTTGAGTACTTTTATTTTTTTCGTTTTTAATAAAAGAAAAAGAAAAAAAGTATAAATATATTATACCCAATACATAAAATAAAACTAATATGTACCTCTTTTTATTTTTATTCTATTTCTATTCTATTTTAATTGATATCAATGCATCTATGCTACTATATTTCTATTTTGAAATCACGAATTTATTTATAGATTATAAAGATTTATTTCTATTTAATTGAAATACTGTTGAAATATAAATTATTGGAATTATTTTTGATATTTTAATTAAACATAGATTTAAGAATAAAAATCCAAGCCATATCCGAAGAATAAATAATATTCTTACAAAAGCAGATATATAGAAAGATCAAACGGAGATTTTATTATTTTATAATTTCATGCATATCTTTCTCTTGTCAAAAATATTAAATGTATTAATTTTGCTTGTTTTGTCTTATCAATTAGAACATTGAAATATTTATTGCAAAATCTAATTCGTCTAGCTATGATAACGAAGATTAAGTTCAAAGTAATATAGTATTTCAAATTATCTAAATTTGCTTATTTAGTACATACAATTCTTTATTACCTTTTTAACCATAACAACATTTTCTTGAATAATTTTAAAAATAAAATTTATTATACGTATAATATCTCTACGTGCTTCCCCCCCCCCTTTTTTTCTAGCGAAATGAACATTTTTCCAAAAAAAAAAAAAAGCACTTAACATCAGATGAACAATTAATAATCGAAAAAATTTTTTAAAATATACACACACGCATAAATGCATTAAAAAAAATGCAAAAAAAAGGAAACGAATAAATCCTTTTAATGATATTATAATGGCTTTTAATGAAATTATTATAACGTTTATTTTTAAAGTTTCTTATCTCTATAATCATTATAATATTTTGTAGTAAACATAAAGATAATTAAGTATATCTAAGAATTAAAAATTCTAAAAATGACACGGATATACTGTGTCTTTTAGATAAAAGAACGTATATTAATTGCTTATCTGAACGTAGGAGTACAAAGATTCGCAACTAATAATAATAATATTATGTACCTCGGTGAAATTATTTATATGAGAAAATTTCAATCTGGAATATTCCTGATATTTATCAACTTTGAAAACAAAAGAATTATTATGGATGAAACTCGCGCGGAATAACTTTTAAACATAACTTCGTTATTCGATACCATTTACTGGCGGATTGGAAGACATCGACCTGTGGTTATTGTGGTTTTGCTGATGAGTCTGGACGTGTGTTACTTTTGAAACGCTTGGACGACCAGCTAGAAAAGCTGCAAACTGCTCCTATAACAACGATACCATCACGCAATAAAAAAAATATATTATGCATAAATATAAATTGATATCTTTGTCGTGTTCAGATATATATTATTCTTTTACATGCTTTTAAAGTATATAATATATTCATAACATTCCATTGAATACGATCAAATATTGAAATCCAAATGCATAATTTAATAATCGAACAAATTAAACAGAAAGAAAAAAAAATAAATTCGGTTTTACGTACCAATAAATGATTCGTGATTGAATTGAGCCTTTGTATGGCTGAACGTACAGCTGAAATACGTTTCTTCGTTGCATTCTTTTGACTGATGATTGGTATCATCTAAATGAAAAAAAAAAAAAAATAATAATAAAATGAGGCAAAACGTGACGATATAAATAAACGATGAAATTTAAATCGATAAATATTCAAAGAAGGGATTCGAATTCAATGATATTCACGTTTAACGTAGCATTTGCAACTGCATGCAATTGATTTGAAACTCTAATGAGAAGTCTGCCAAGATTGCGAGGAGTTTTGGCTGCTAACGCTGCTGTTCCATTCACCAGATGTACAATACGACGTGCAGATTCACGCGTTAGAAGTACCAATAATTGCTCTACAGTGGTTGGCCGAGCTTGATTCTCCGGTTCGGGCAAACTTAAAGTTCCCCACAACTCTTTGGCTTTTTGGAACGCTAATATTGGATCCGTTGCTAACTGTAACACATTAATTTGAACATGAAAGAAATCTGATTATTTAATAATACGTGCCATTCTCCATGAAACATTACTTTATCGAAATTTATAGTAAAGATATAAGTTGTTGTGAATTTTCGTATAATATTCAAAAAGAAGTGCAAATGTATGTAAAATTATAAGAGAAATTGAAAAACTTAATTAGTTTCGTTGGAAAAAATCATTCGAAACTATGTTGATTGAATATATTATCTTTACG